GTCCTCCACGCCCGGTCACCCCCGTGTCCTCCATGGATGGTCACCCCCTGTCCACCATGCCCGGTCACCCCCGTGTCCTCCACGCCCGGTCACCCTGTGTCCACCATGCCCGGTCAGCCCCCCCCATGTCCTCCATGCCCGGTCACCCCCGTGTCCTCCACGCCCGGTCACCCCATGTCCTCCATGGATGGTCACCCCATGTCCACCATGGATGGTCACCCCATGTCCACCATGGATGGTCACCCCATGTCCTCCATGGATGGTCACCCCATGTCCACCATGGATGGTCACCCCCGTGTCCTCCACGCCCGGTCACCCCATGTCCTCCATGGATGGTCACCCCATGTCCGCCATGGATGGTCACCCCATGTCCACCATGGATGGTCACCCTGCATCCACCATGCCCGGTCACCCCCATGTCCTCCATGGATGGTCACCCCATGTCCACCATGGATGGTCACCCCCGTGTTCTCCACGCCTGGTCACCCCATGTCCACCATGGATGGTCACCCTGCGTCCACCACGCCCGGTCACCCCCGTGTCCTCCACGCCCGGTCACCCTGCGTCCACCATGCCCGGTCACCCCCCCCCCGTGTCCTCCACGCCCGGTCACCCCTGTGTCTGTGCCAGGTCACGGCCTGGGGCGTGAGTCTGTGTTCACAGGTTCCTCGCGCAAGGCCCCAGAGTGAGGAGAGGTGTGTGCACAGCTGCTGCTGCTCTCGGCTGCCCCGTGACCAGCCCCGGCCGCTCCTTCGGTTCTTGTCCCGCTGCCCTCGCGGGATACGGCCCTGCACTTGTCAGGATAATTGAAGCGGAGGAGACGCGGCCTGCTCCAGGGCGGGGGGCGTCACCGGGAGTGCGGACAGCTCCCCGCAGACCCGCGTCCCCCATGGGTGCGAGGCTGTGGACGCCCCGGCCTCCCACTTGCTTCTGAAGGTCCTTGACGGCCAGTGCACTGCCCAGCAGTGACGCGTCTGCTGAGCCCTGTGTGGGCCTGCGAGTGCGGCGCGGCGGCCCAGCTGCTAGTGCCACACGGCGGCCCAGCTGCGAGTGCCACACGGCGGCTCACCTGCGAGTGTGACACGGCGGCCCAGCTGCGAGTGTGACACAGCAGCTCACCTGCGAGTGCCACACGGCGGCTCAGCTGCTAGTGCCACACGGCGGCCCAGCTGCGAGTGTGACACGGCGGCTCACCTGCGAGTGCCACACGGCGGCCCAGCTGCTAGTGCCACACGGCGGCCCAGCTGCTAGTGCCACACGGCGGCTCACCTGCGAGTGCCACACGGCGGCCCAGCTGCTAGTGCCACACGGCGGCCCAGCTGCTAGTGCCACACGGCGGCCCAGCTGCTAGTGCCACACGGCGGCTCACCCGCGAGTGTGACACGGCGGCTCAGCTGCGAGTGTGACACGGCGGCCCACCTGCGAGTGTGACACGGCGGCCCAGCTGTGAGTGTGACACGGCGGCTCAGCTGCGAGTGTGACACGGCGGCTCAGCTGCGAGTGTGACACGGCTGCTCAGCTGCGAGTGTGACACGGCGGCCCAGCTGCGAGTGCCACACGGCGGCTCAGCTGCGAGTGTGACACGGCGGCTCAGCTGTGAGTGTGACACGGCGGCTCAGCTGCGAGTGTGACACGGCGGCTCAGCTGCGAGTGTGACATGGCGGCTCACCTGCGAGTGTGACACGGCGGCTCAGCTGTGAGTGTGACACGGCGGCTCAGCTGCGAGTGTGACACGGCGGCTCACCTGCGTGTGACACGGCTGCTCAGCTGCGAGTGTGACACGGCGGCTCACCTGCGAGTGTGACACGGCGGCCCAGCTGCGAGTGTGACACGGCGGCTCAGCTGCGAGTGTGACACGGCGGCTCAGCTGCGAGTGCCACACGGCGGCTCACCTGCGAGTGTGACACAGTGGCTCACCCGCGAGTGTGACACGGCGGCTCAGCTGCGAGTGTGACACGGCGGCTCACCCGCGAGTGTGACACGGCGGCTCAGCTGCGAGTGTGACGCGGCGGCTCACCCGCTGAGAACATCACTTCCAGGAGGAATGGCGGCTGCAGGCTTGCTGTCCTCAGCCACTTGGCTTTGGACAGTCCCGGCAGCAGAGCACCGGGGCACGTGGCAGAGCGGAGCTGCTTGCTGTGTGGTGGTTAGGAAAGCAAAAGCCAAGAGGAAAAGCCAGGGGACCCGATGCAGCCGTCAAAGCCACGTCTCCCGTGACCCCCTCCGGCAGGCCACTGAGCTATGAACCCATCCACAGGGGCAGGAAGCTGTGGGCGAAGGGACACATACGCACCAACCACGGCACCAATCACAGTCAGGAACCAGCGGGCTGTGTGGTGAGGTGTGAGCTTGTCCAGAGACCCCCGTGAGCGCTGGCTGCGAGGCCTGCCCCGTTCACGCCAGGCTGCCTGTAACAGAAGAAATGACTGCTTAGCTCGCCACGCATGCTAGGACAGAAAGTGAGGCTGGGCAGGAAGAGGGCGTGGAGGCTGTCTGAGGAGGTGGTGTTGGGGCCAAATATTGAGGATGTGGAGGCGCGGCTGGCCGGGGAGGGAAGGGGCTGAGGGAGGAGGAGAGCAGGGGCGTCCGCTCAGCAGATGTGGGGAGCAACAGATGCACAAGATCACCACGGGGGCTTCGCTTGTTCAACTGACATCCCTACGACGCGCCTGGCACTGGGGAGTGGAGCCCAGCTCTGTAGATCAGTCTGTAGCTGACTTCAAAGAGGAGACGCACTGGGCGCTCCGTGCTCCCCCGTGCTCCCCATGCTCCCCGTGCTCCCCGTGCTCCCCATGCTCCCCATGCTCCCCCATGCTCCCCATGCTCCCCCATGCTCCCCCATGGTCCCCCGTGCTCCCCCGTGCTCCCCCGTGCTCCCCCGTGCTCCCTGTGCTCCCCATGCTCCCCATGCTCCCCCGTGCTCCCCCGTGCTCCCCCGTGCTCCCTGTGCTCCCCATGCTCCCCCATGGTCCCCGTGCTTCCCCTGCTCCCCTGTGCTCCCTGTGCTCCCCCATGCTCCCCCATGCTCCCCCGTGCTCCCTCGTGCTCCCCCGTGCTCCCCCGTGCTCCCCCATGCTCCCTCGTGCTCCCCCGTGCTCCCCCATGCTCCCCCATGCTCCCCCGTGCTCCCCCGTGCTCCCCCATGCTCCCTGTGCTCCCCATGCTCCCCATGCTCCCCCATGCTCCCCATGCTCCCCCGTGCTCCCCCGTGCTCCCTGTGCTCCCCATGCTCCCCCATGGTCCCCGTGCTCCCCATGCTCCCCGTGCTCCCCGTGCTCCCCATGCTCCCCATGCTCCCCCATGCTCCCCATGCTCCCCCATGCTCCCCCATGGTCCCCCATGCTCCCCCGTGCTCCCCCGTGCTCCCCCATGCTGCCTGTGCTCTCCATGCTCCCCCATGCTCCCCATGCTCCCCCGTGCTCCCCCGTGCTCCCCTGTGCTCCCCCGTGCTCCCTGTGCTCCCCATGCTCCCCCATGGTCCCCGTGCTTCCCCTGCTCCCCCGTGCTCCCTGTGCTTCCCCGTGCTCCCCCATGCTCCCCCGTGCTCCCATGCTCCCCCATGCTCCCCCATGCTCCCCATGCTCCCCATGCTCCCCCGTGCTCCCCCGTGCTCCCCCGTGCTCCCCCGTGCTCCCTGTGCTCCCCATGCTCCCCCATGGTCCCCCGTGCTTCCCGTGCTTCCCGTGCTCCCCCGTGCTCCCCCATGCTCCCATGCTCCCCGTACTCCCCCGTGCTCCCCCATGCTCCCATGCTCCCCCATGCTCCCATGCTCCCCGTACTCCCCCGTGCTCCCCCATGCTCCCATGCTCCCCCATGCTCCCATGCTCCCCGTACTCCCCCGTGCTCCCCCATGCTCCCATGCTCCCCCATGCTCCCATGCTCCCCGTACTCCCCCGTGCTCCCCCATGCTCCCATGCTCCCCCATGCTCCCATGCTCCCCGTACTCCCCCGTGCTCCTCCATGCTCCCATGCTCCCGTGCTCCCCCATGCTCCCGTGCTCCCCCATGCTCCCATGCTCCCCCGTGCTCCCCCGTGCTCCCCCATGCTCCCCTGTGCTCCCCCGTGCTCCCCCATGCTCCCATGCTCCCCCGTGCTCCCCCGTGCTCCCCGTGCTCCCCCATGGTCCCCCATGCTCCCCCGTGCTCCCCCGTGCTCCCTCATGCTCTCCCATGCTCCTGTGCTCCCCCGTGCTCCCGTGCTCCCCCATGGTCCCATGCTCCCCCATGCTCCCATGCTCCCATGCTCCCCCGTGCTCCCCCGTGCTCCCCCGTGCTCCCATGCTCCCATGCTCCCATGCTCCCCCGTGCTCCCATGCTCCCCCGTGCTCCCATGCTCCCCCGTGCTCCCATGCTCCCCCGTGCTCCCATGCTCCCCCATGCTCCCCATGCTCCCCCATGCTCCCATGCTCCCCCGTGCTCCCCATGCTCCCCCGTGCTCCCATGCTCCCCCGTGCTCCCATGCTCCCCCGTGCTCCCATGCTCCCCCGTGCTCCCATGTTCCCCCGTGCTCCCCATGCTCCCCCATGCTCCCATGCTCCCCCGTGCTCCCATGCTCCCCCGTGCTCCCCAAGCTCCCCCATGGTCCCATGCTCCCCCATGCTCCCATGCTCCCATGCTCCCATGCTCCCCCGTGCTCCCATGCTCCCCCGTGCTCCCATGCTCCCCCGTGCTCCCATGCTCCCCCATGCTCCCCATGCTCCCCCGTGCTCCCATGCTCCCCCGTGCTCCTCATGCTCCCCCATGCTCCCATGCTCCCCCGTGCTCCCATGCTCCCCCGTGCTCCCATGCTCCCCCGTGCTCCCATGTTCCCCCGTGCTCCCCATGCTCCTCCATGCTCCCATGCTCCCCCGTGCTCCCATGCTCCCCCGTGCTCCCATGTTCCCCCGTGCTCCCATGCTCCCCCATGCTCCCATGCTCCCATGCTCCCATGCTCCCATGCTCCCCCGTGCTCCCTCATGCTCTCCCATGCTCCTGTGCTCCCCCGTGCTCCCGTGCTCCCCCATGGTCCCATGCTCCCCCATGCTCCCATGCTCCCCGTACTCCCCCGTGCTCCTCCATGCTCCCATGCTCCCGTGCTCCCCCGTGCTCCCGTGCTCCCCCATGCTCCCATGCTCCCCCGTGCTCCCCCGTGCTCCCCCATGCTCCCCTGTGCTCCCCCGTGCTCCCCCATGCTCCGATGCTCCCCCGTGCTCCCCCGTGCTCCCCGTGCTCCCCCATGGTCCCCCATGCTCCCCCGTGCTCCCCCGTGCTCCCTCATGCTCTCCCATGCTCCTGTGCTCCCCCATGGTCCCATGCTCCCCCATGCTCCCATGCTCCCATGCTCCCCCGTGCTCCCATGTTCCCCCGTGCTCCCCATGCTCCCCCATGCTCCCATGTTCCCCCGTGCTCCCCATGCTCTCCCATGCTCCCATGCTCCCATGCTCCCCCGTGCTCCCCCGTGCTCCCCCGTGCTCCCATGCTCCCATGCTCCCCCATGCTCCCATGCTCCCCCGTGCTCCCATGCTCCCCCATGCTCCCATGCTCCCCCGTGCTCCCCCGTGCTCCCCCATGCTCCCCCATGCTCCCCCATGGTCCCATGCTCCCATGCTCCCCCATGCTCCCATGCTCCCATGCTCCCATGCTCCCATGCTCCCCCGTGCTCCCTCATGCTCTCCCATGCTCCTGTGCTCCCCCGTGCTCCCGTGCTCCCCCATGGTCCCATGCTCCCCCATGCTCCCATGCTCCCATGCTCCCATGCTCCCCCGTGCTCCCCCGTGCTCCCATGCTCCCATGCTCCCATGCTCCCCCATGCTCCCATGCTCCCCCGTGCTCCCATGCTCCCCCGTGCTCCCATGCTCCCCCGTGCTCCCATGCTCCCCCGTGCTCCCCATGCTCCCCCATGCTCCCATGCTCCCCCGTGCTCCCATGCTCCCCCGTGCTCCCATGCTCCCCCGTGATCCCCCGTGCTCCCATGCTCCCATGCTCCCCCGTGCTCCCCCGTGCTCCCCCATGCTCCCATGCTCCCCCGTGCTCCCGTACTCCCAGCCAGCCCGGAGCCCCACGCTTGCCTCAGCTGGCAGAGTCCTCACTCCGTTGGCGCAGGCTGGGGCACAGGTGTTTGTATTTGGGGGAGCTCCAGGCAGTTCTCAGGGGTTCCTGGCGACCTGGAACTCCTCGGAGGCTGGTGTCAGATGTGGTGGGTGTCGTGGCAGACATCAGGCTTCTGAGAACTCCCGGGGTCACTCCAGGGCTGCTTGCGTCTCCACCCTTCTGTGGGGCGCGGGGGCTGAGGAAGGAGGGCTCCGCGCTGTCCCTCACCCAAGCGGAAGGGTCTGAGCTGGGACTCCAGGGCTGTGGCCAGGCCCAGAGCAGGGGAGACGGTCCTTCACCCCCACGCGAAGGAGGCCACGGGCACCAGGCCCAACAGGCCACTGAGCCCAAGGTAGGCCATAGCGCAGACACCAACTCAGCCGCTGTGCCCAGTGTGCAGTGGATTGTCCGCCCCGGGAGAGCTGGGAGGGTCACAGGAAGGGGGCAGAACTCCACAGCGGATGTTTACAAAGCCTCGGGGTCTGTAAGAGGACCATCCCATAATAGCCTGTGCCACGCTCAGCCCCTGAGCACGGGGGTCGTTTGCAACATACACATGTACACTGCAACCCCCGGGGCCAGGTGTCACTGTCGGAGCTTGCAGCCCTCCACGCCTCCGTGGTCCTCCATGCCTCCCAGGTCCTCCACCCCTCCTCCCTCCTCCATCCTCCACCCTTCCCCGGTCCTCCACCCCTCCTTCCTCCTCCATCCTCCACCCCTCCCAGGTCCTCCACCCCTCCTCCCTCCTCCATCCTCCACCCTTCCCCGGTCCTCCACCCCTCCTCCCTCCTCCATCCTCCACCCCTCCCAGGTCCTCCACCCCTCCTCCATCCTCCCAGGTCCTCCACCCCTCCTCCATCCTCCCAGGTCCTCCACCCCTCCCCAGTCCTCCACCCCTCCTCCCTCCTCCCTCCTCCACCTCTCCCAGGTCCTCCACCCCTCCCCAGTCCTCCACCCCTCCTCCCTCCTCCCTCCTCCATCCTCCACCCCTCCCAGGTCCTCCACCCCTCCCCGGTCCTCCACCCCTCCTCCCTCCTCCCCCCTCCTCCCTCCTCCACCCCTCCTCAGTCCTCCACCCCTCCTCTATCCTTCATGCCTCCACATTCCTCCACCCCTCCTCAGTCCTCCACCCCTCCTCTATCCTTCATGCCTCCACATTCCTCCACCCCTCCACGGCCTCCATGCCTCCACGGCCTCCATGTCTCCACGGTCCTCCATGCCTCTGAGGTCCTCCACCCCTCCTCAGTCCTCCACCCCTCCGTGGTCCTCCATCCTCCACGCCTCCACATTCCTCCACCTCTCCAAGGTCCTTCATGCCTCTGAGGTCCTCCACCCCTCCTCCCTCCTCCATTCTCCATGCCTTCACATTCCTCCACCCCTCCAAGGTCCTCCACACCTCTGAGGTCCTCCTTGCCTCCACAGTCCTCCACCCCTCCTCCCTCCTCCCTCCTCCCCCCTCCTCCATCCTCCACCCCTTCCTCATTCTCCACCCCTCCCTCATCCTCCACCCCTCAGATGTCTTCCACCCCTCCTCCATCCTCCACCCCTCCCAGGTCCTCCACCCCTCCTCAGTCCTCCATCCCTCCTCCATTCTCCACCCCTCCTCAGTCCTCCATGCCTCCACAGTCCCCTGCCCCTCCCCGCCCCCACGGGGCTTCCTGGCGCGGGCACTGGTTTGGTCCTAGTGGAATGTTCTCTGTGTTCCACCTGCGCTGTCCTGTCAGGAGTGCGGCCAACGGTATCTGAGGTGCTTGGCTCTCTGGTCCCGTGGTGTCGTTGGAGGAGGCTGGGACGCAGAGCTGCCATTGTGGGACTCCGGTGTGGCGTGTCACATCGCCGTGGACACTCCACGTGAACTGACTGTGCCCGAGATTGGCCTGAGCGAGGCCGCGGGCCCCGCGGGGCAGGGGGTGACCTCCCAGAAGACAAGACTGTGTGACTCGGGCCGGCAGCTTCAGAAGCACAGCTGCAGACGGCCAGTGAGGGCCTCTGGTGCCCACTCCACCCCAGAACAGACGCTGGGCAGAAAGGAGCAGAGGTGGTAATTGTCATGTTTAACAATCTTCATGACGGCTGCTTGTCCTGAGAGACGCAGTCTGTCAAGACACCGGGGAGGAGGGATGGAGGGCTGCAGCGAGCGGCCACGGGGACTCCTCTGAAGAGGAAGACAAGCCCCAGGCAGCGTCACCCGGGGCTCTGGAGAAAACCCAGTCCCCCAGGATACCCCACTCTGGGAAGGCAAGATTCAGGAGGAGAGGGGAGGAGAGGGAGGGGCGGGAGGGCTGCAAACCTGCTCCATCGCTCCAAGGCACCTCTAAGGAGACCCCACAGGGCATGGAAGAGGGGGCCACAGGGAGGAGGGACAAACTCATTAGAAACAGGCTTTGAGGAGGACTCATCAGAAAGAAGAATTAATGAATTCATTAGCCAATGCTGAAGATGACGCTGGTTTCTCACATGGGAAACGTGGAACTGGGAAGGTGCTGTCACAGTCCCCGGGAAACGTCACGTCCCCACCCTACATTGAGAGAAGACGGCCGTCCAGCAAACACCTGTAATCCCGGCTCCTCAGGAGGCAGAGCCCAAATCCGCTGGGGCTGGAGGCCTGAGTTCAATCCCCAGCGCCTCAGCGGGAGGAGGAAGAGGTGGAAGAGGAAGAGGACGGAGCTCAGTGGGCACCTGGCAGGGAGCATTTCCACGTGTCCGTCTGTCCTGACGCCCTCCACACTGCATCTGTGGTCAGGTCATGCAGGCCGAGTGCTGGGGTGCTGGGGTGCTGGGATGGGGTCCTGCCCCAGACACAAGTGAGGGTCCCGGCGCTGCTCCGGCCACGGGGCCTGGGTGCTGCCGTCCAGGCTCGGTCCTCGCCTCTTAGTCTGTGCCCTGGGTCTCAAAGAGGAGGGCGGCCTGCCTGCCAGGGTGTCCGGGCCCAGAGCCTTCCCAGAGCAGAGGGACGCCTGCCCCAGCGCCCCGCCCATCCCTGAGCGGCCCCGCCCACTGCCCCGCCCCGTCCCTGAGGGACCCGCCCAGCGCCCCGCCCATCCCCGAGACGTCCCGCCCACCGCCCCGCCCAGCCCAGCCCGACCCCTGTGGGACCTGTCCAGAGCCCCGCCCATCCCTGAGCGGCCCCGCCCACCACCCCGCCGATCCCTGAGCAGCCCCGCCCAGCGCCCCGCCCCTCACCCTGCACCTCACCCCGCACCCCGCCCCTCACCCCGCCCCTCACCCCGCCCCTCACCCTGCACCCGCCCCTCACCCTGCACCCGCCCCTCACCCCGCACCTCACCCTGCACCCGCCCCTCACCCTGCACCCGCCCCTCACCCCGCACCTCACCCTGCACCCGCCCCTCACCCTGCACCCGGCCTTCACCCTGCACCCGCCACTCACCCTGCACCCGCCTCTCACCCCGCACCCGCCCCTCACCCCGCCCCTCACCCTGCACCCGCCCCTCACCCTGCACCCGCCCCTCACCCTGCACCTCACCCCGCACCCCGCCCCTCACCCTGCACCCGCCCCTCACCCTGCACCCGCCCCTCACCCTGCACCCGCCCCTCACCCTGCACCCGCCCCTCACCCTGCAACCGCCACTCACCCTGCACCCCGCCCCTCACCCTGCACCCGCCCCTCACTCCGCCCCTCACCCTGCACCCGCCCCTCACCCTGCACCCCGCCCCTCACCCTGCACCCGCCCCTCACCCCGCCCCTCACCCTGCACCCGCCCCTCACCCTGCCCCTCACCCTGCACCCCGCCCCTCACCCTGCACCCGCCCCTCACCCTGCACCCGCCCCTCACCCTGCACCCGCCCCTCACCCTGCACCCCGCCCCTCACCCTGCACCCGCCCCTCACCCCGCCCCTCACCCTGCACCCGCCCCTCACCCTGCCCCTCACCCTGCACCCCGCCCCTCACCCTGCACCCGCCCCTCACCCCGCCCCTCACCCTGCACCCGCCCCTCACCCTGCACCCGCCCCTCACCCTGCACCCGCCCCTCACCCCGCCCCTCACCCTGCACCCGCCCCTCACCCTGCACCCCGCCCCTCACCCTGCACCCGCCCCTCACCCCGCCCCTCACCCTGCACCCGCCCCTCACCCTGCACCCCGCCCCTCACCCTGCACCCGCCCCTCACCCCGCCCCTCACCCCGCCCCTCACCCCGCCCCTCACCCCGCCCCTCACCCCGCCCCTCACCCTGCACCCGCCCCTCACCCTGCACCCCGCCCCTCACCCCGCACCCCGCCCCTCACCTTGCACCCGCCACTCACCCTGCACCCGCCCCTCACCCCGCCCCTCACCCTGCACCCGCCCCTCACCCCGCCCCTCACCCCGCCCCTCACCCTGCACCCGCCCCTCACCCCGCCCCTCACCCCGCCCCTCACACTGCACCACGCCCCTCACCCCGCCCCTCACCCCGCCCCTCACACTGCACCACGCCCCTCACCCCGCCCCTCACCCCGCCCCTCACCCTGCACCCGCCCCTGACCCCGCCCCTCACCCTGCACCCGCCCCTCACCCTGCACCCGCCCCTCACCCTGCACCCGCCCCTCACCCCGCCCCTCACCCCGCCCCTCACCCCGCCCCTCACCCTGCACCCGCCCCTCACCCCGCCCCTCACCCCGCCCCTCACCCCGCACCCCGCCCCTCACCCCGCCCCTCACCCCGCCCCTCACCCTGCACCCGCCCCTCACCCTGCACCCGCCCCTCACCCCGCCCCTCACCCTGCACCCGCCCCTGACCCCGCCCCTCACCCTGCACCCGCCCCTCACCCTGCACCCGCCCCTCACCCCGCCCCTCACCCCGCCCCTCACCCCGCCCCTCACCCTGCACCCGCCCCTCACCCCGCCCCTCACCCCGCCCCTCACCCCGCACCCGCCCCTCACCCTGCACCCGCCCCTGACCCCGCCCCTCACCCTGCACCCGCCCCTCACCCTGCACCCGCCCCTCACCCCGCCCCTCACCCCGCCCCTCACCCCGCCCCTCACCCTGCACCCGCCCCTCACCCCGCCCCTCACCCTGCCCCTCACCCCGCACCCCGCCCCTCACCCTGCCCCTCACCCCGCCCCTCACCCTGAACCCGCCCCTCACCCCGCCCCTCACCCCGCCCCTCACCCTGCCCCTCACCCCGCCCCTCACCCTGCACCCGCCCCTCACCCTGCACCCGCCCCTCACCCCGCCCCTCACCCTGCACCCGCCCCTCACCCTGCACCCGCCCCTCACCCCGCCCCTCACCCTGCACCCGCCCCTCACCCTGCACCCGCCCCTCACCCCGCCCCTCACCCTGCACCCGCCCCTCACCCTGCACCCGCCCCTCACCCCGCCCCTCACCCTGCACCCGCCCCTCACCCTGCACCCGCCCCTCACCCCGCCCCTCACCCTGCACCCGCCCCTCACCCTGCACCCGCCCCTCACCCCGCCCCTCACCCTGCACCCGCCCCTCACCCTGCACCCGCCCCTCACCCCGCCCCTCACCCTGCACCCACCCCTCACACCGCCCCTCACCCCGCACCCCGCCCCTCACCCCGCCCCTCACCCCGCCCCTCATCCTGCACCCGCCCCTCACCCTGCACCCGCCCCTCACCCCGCCCCTCACCCTGCACCCGCCCCTCACCCCGCCCCTCACCCTGCACCCGCCCCTCACCCTGCACCCGCCCCTCACCCTGCACCCGCCCCTCACCCTGCACCCGCCACTCACCCTGCACCCGCCCCTCACCCTGCACCCGCCCCTCACCCTGCACCCGGCCCTCACCCTGCACCCGCCCCTCACCCCGCCCCTCACCCTGCACCCGCCCCTCACCCCGCCCCTCACCCTGCCCCTCACCCCGCCCCTCACCCCGCCCCTCACCCTGCACCCGCCCCTCACCCTGCACCCGCCCCTCACCCTGCACCCGACACTCACCCTGCACCCGCCCCTCACCCTGCACCCGCCCCTCACCCTGCACCCGGCCCTCACCCTGCACCCGCCCCTCACCCCGCCCCTCACCCTGCACCCGCCCCTCACCCTGCACCCGCCCCTCACCCTGCACCCGCCCCTCACCCTGCACCCGCCACTCACCCTGCACCCGCCCCTCACCCTGCACCCGCCCCTCACCCTGCACCCGGCCCTCACCCTGCACCCGCCCCTCACCCTGCACCCGCCCCTCACCCCGCCCCTCACCCTGCACCCGCCCCTCACCCTGCACCCGCCCCTCACCCTGCACCCGCCCCTCACCCCGCCCCTCACCCCGCCCCTCACCCTGCAACCGCCCCTCACCCCGCCCCTCACCCCGCCCCTCACCCTGCACCCACCCCTCACACCGCCCCTCACCCCGCACCCCGCCCCTCACCCCGCCCCTCATCCCGCCCCTCACCCTGCACCCGCCCCTCACCCCGCCCCTCACCCCGCCCCTCACCCTGCACCCGCCACTCACCCTGCACCCGCCCCTCACCCTGCAACCGCCACTCACCCTGCACCCGCCCCTCACCCTGCACCCGGCCCTCACCCTGCACCCGCCCCTCACCCTGCACCCGCCCCTCACCCCGCCCCTCACCCTGCACCCGCCCCTCACCCCGCCCCTCACCCTGCCCCTCACCCTGCACCCGCCCCTCACCCTGCACCCGTCCCTCACCCCGCCCCTCACCCTGCCCCTCACCCTGCACCCGCCCCTCACCCTGCACCCGTCCCTCACCCCGCCCCTCACCCTGCCCCTCACCCTGCACCCGCCCCTCACCCTGCACCCGCCCCTCACCCCGCCCCTCACCCTGCCCCTCACCCTGCACCCGCCCCTCACCCTGCCCCTCACCCTGCACCCGCCCCTCACCCCGCCCCTCACCCCGCCCCTCACCCTGCACCCGCCCCTCACCCTGCACCCGCCCCTCACCCCGCCCCTCACCCTGCACCCGCCCCTCACCCCGCCCCTCACCCCGCCCCTCACCCTGCACCCACCCCTCACACCGCCCCTCACCCCGCACCCCGCCCCTCACCCTGCACCCGCCCCTCACCCCGCCCCTCACCCTTCACCCGCCCCTCACCCTGCCCCTCACCCCGCACCCCGCCCCTCACCCCGCCCCTCACCCCGCCCCTCACCCTGCACCCGCCCCTCACCCTGCACCCGCCCCTCACCCCGCCCCTCACCGTGCACCCGCCCCTCACCCCGCCCCTCACCCTGCACCCGCCCCTCACCCTGCACCCGCCCCTCACCCCGCCCCTCACCCTGCACCCGCCCCTCACCCTGCACCCGCCCCTCACACCGCCCCTCACCCCGCCCCTCACCCTGCACCCACCCCTCACCCCGCCCCTCACCCCACCCCTCACCCCGCACCCCGCCCCTCACCCCGCCCCTCACCCCGCCCCTCACCCTGCACCCCGCCCCTCACCCGGCACCCGCCCCTCACCCCGCCCCTCACCCTGCACCCCGCCCCTCACCCCCGCCCCTCACCCCGCCCCTCACCCTGCACCCCGCCCCTCACCCGGCACCCGCCCCTCACCCCGCCCCTCACCCTGCACCCCGCCCCTCACCCCGCCCCTCACCCCGCCCCTCACCCCTGCACCCACCCCTCACCCCGCCCCTCACCCCGCACCCCGCCCCTCACCCTGCACCCGCCCCTCACCCCGCCCCTCACCCTTCACCCGCCCCTCACCCTGCCCCTCACCCTGGACCCGCCACTCACCCCGCCCCTCACCCCGCACCCCGCCCCTCACCCTGCACCCCGCCCCTGACCCTGCCCCTCACCCTGCACCCCGCCCCTCACCCTGCACCCCGCCCCTCACCCTGCACCCGCCCCTCACCCTGCACCCGCCCCTCACCCCGCCCCTCACCCTGCACCCCGCCCCTCACCCCGCCCCTCACCCCGCCCCTCACCCTGCACCCACCCCTCACCCCCGCCCCTCACCCCGCACCCCGCCCCTCACCCTGCACCCGCCCCTCACCCCGCCCCTCACCCTTCACCCGCCCCTCACCCTGCCCCTCACCCTGGACCCGCCACTCACCCCGCCCCTCACCCCGCAACCCCGCCCCTCACCCTGCACCCGCCCCTGACCCTGCCCCTCACCCTGCACCCCGCCCCTCACCCTGCACCCCGCCCCTCACCCTGCACCCGCCCCTCACCCTGCACCCGCCCCTCACTCTGCACCCCGCCCCTCACCCCGCCCCTCACCCCGCCCCTCACCCTGCACCCGCCCCTCACCCTGCACCCGCCCCTCACCCTGCACCCGCCCCTCACCCTGCACCCGCCCCTCACCCCGCACCCGCCCCTCACCCTGCACCCGCCCCTCACCCCGCACCCCGCCCCTCACCCCGCACCCCGCCCCTCACCCTGCACCCGCCTTTCACCCTGCACCCCGTCCCTCACCCCGCACCCCGCCCCTCATCCCGCACCCCGCCCCTGCCCTGCAGCCCCCCCTCACCACCCCACCCAGGCCTGCACCTCCCTTTCCCACCCCCTGGGCAGGGCAGGCAAGGTGGGAGGGCAGAGCTCAGGGTCCCCCTGCCCTTTCCTCCTGAACCTTCATTTCCAGCCAGAGGGGCAGCTCAGGTGGGATGAGGAAGTAGGGGGAGAAGGGGTGAGGGGCTGGGGAGGAGGGGCCAGGGGTGGGGAGGAGGGGAGGAGTTCCTGGTCTCGGGTTCCTGTTTGGGGAGCAGACCTCACACAGACGGTGTCCCCCCAGCTTCCTTCTCAGACGGGGCTTTGCGGGGCTGGCTCCCGCTCCCTGGACATGGACGGCGCCAGGCTCCCCTCTGCTCTGCACCTTCCCTTCAGCACACAAGTCCCGGGGCAAGAGTGCTAGGGTGCGGGGCAGAGCCCTGGGGTCCTGAGGAAGTGGGGATCCTGGAGGGAAGCGCAGAGTTGGGGTTTGGCGGTGGCTCCCACTCCATGTCACCAGCGCACCCTTAGGGTGGCGGCCAGCCCTGGAGGGACGTGGCTGGGGACTGTGTGGCCAGCACCCAGCCCGAAGGACCCACCCCAGCCCTCTTCCCCCCAGGGCCCTCTGCACAGCCCCCATCCTGTAACCCCCCTCCCGCCAGGCCTTGAACCTCCCTTCCGGAGACTCTGCAAACCCCAGAGAAATCTCTCCCAAAACAGTCAGAAAAAACTGGCCTCCATTGTACCGCTCCCGTCAGCCCTGGCCTGGCTGGAAGCCGGGCAGCCGCGGCGTAAGGGCCACCGGGTGTCCTTCCTAACAGCATCCTCCCTCCCTCCGCACAAGCCAGCCTCTGCTTCTAATGCAGCGGGTGGTCCGCAGAGCGGGGCGGTTACACAGCCCCAGGGCAAACCCCAAGGCTCATTGCCAGGAGCAGAGGAAGAGGACAGGGGAAAGGAGCCCACAGCGGCACAGGGAATCCCGTGGCTCCTGATTCCAACAGCCACATCCCCACGGTCAGGGCCGAGAGCCCGTCCCCACGGTCGGGGTCGGGGCCGAGAGCCCATCCCCACGGTCAGGGCCGAGAGCCCATCCCCACGGTCAGGATCGGGACCCCATCCCCACGGTCAGGGCCGAGAGTCCATCCCCAGTCAGGCTTGGGCACCACCTTGTAGCTCAGGCTTGAAGGAAGTCTTTTTGTTTAGTTGTTGCTGTTGTCATTTGTGGGGCTTAAACTCCGGGCCTAGGCACTGTCCCTGAGCCTCTCTGTGCTCAAGGCCAATGTTCTACCACAGCTCCCAGCCTCCTGAGTAGATAGGATTACAGGTGCGAGCCGCGGGCGCCCGGCTTGAAGGAAGTCTTACCACCTGCGTTTGGAGCACACAACAGTGGTGCCAAGGAGCCACTAAAGGGCCCTCAGAGACCCAGGCACAGCACAGGGCTTCACGCACTTGGGAATAAAGGGAGCCGATGAATACTGGAAACAAGAAGGACACGATGTTGAATTTTATTTTTTATGCTGGGGATAGATCCCAGGACTCGGCACGTGCTGGGCGTGTACGGCACTGAAAGCGGCAGATCAAGCCCCAAAGGGTTTTAACCTGGGAGACCAGTTCATCATTTTATGTTCTCTGATTTTACAAATTTCAAAGAAGAGGTTGTGTTTTAGCAAGAAGGATGTACATAACATAATATAATATATATACACACACATACACACATATAATACATATATCTGGCATATTTCTGTGATATACATTTACATATACATAGAATCCCTCATAAATTAAAACATTTGCTTAAAGAATGTTTCCTTTTAATTTATAAGAGATTGTTTTCAATGCTGAATTATCTTTTTAGCAACCAATTACCGGTAGTTAATGAAAACATTTCAACTCTGTGATCCACGCATGAAGGCTTTGGTATAAAACCATTTTCTCAGTGTTGTTCCCCTTGTTTTCTTTGCTTAAAGCCATATGAAAACATTTCCACCAAAAAGGCACATTTTCATGTTCTTGCTTGAGGATGCAAATGAAGAGTCTGAGGCCTGAGTGACTCCATCTTGAGCTAGCGGTCATCTTCTGAGGTATGAGTTATGCAGCTGACCATGAGCCCGGCCTGGGAATGAACAGAAGAAGCAATTCTCGGGCACTAGGAACATAAACAATCCTTGGGAAAATCGCAGGCAGGCAGGTGCTGGAGGGCAGGGTGACCCCGCAGTCAGGCCACAGGTGGTGTTTGTTTGAGAAAGGAACCCTGCAGTATAGCACGCATCTCCTTGAGACTCGCTGTGGTGCCAGCCAACCAGTTTACAGTGCGTCAGCCTCTGATCTAACCAACAATCTGTTTCTGCTTTGTAGTGCGCCAGTCACACTATAGAATTGTATTATGATTTTCCCACGATGTGTAATAATTTGTTGTAAGATGCTATGATGTATACAAAGTCCCTGCCTTCCCTAAAAAAGTATATAAAAAGACTATAACCCTGGGCTCGGGGCCTCTTGGCGTCACCAGTTACCGGGTGCATGGAGGACCAAGCTGGAGCTTGCAATAAAGACTCCTTTGCTTTTACATTGGTGATGGTCTCTGATGGTCTTCTGGGTAAGGATTTCTGAATTCGGTTTTACACAAATATATATTTAAGTGCCTAATGACGCCAGTATCTATTTAATAACAAATTCCAGAGAAATCTTATTTTTTATTGAAAGCTCTATCACTAAAATTATTTGGGATGAGTCAGTTCTTCCTGCAACTGTTTAGGAAAAAGGAAAAAATAAAATGTGTACTATATGTATATTTTAAGGTGACAGAAAAATTAATAAGCACATACAACCCACAGTGACTTACAAATGTGAACTAGAGGTAGACGGGCTGTGTCAGAACACAGCTTAAACTGACTTAAAAAAGCAACCAACAACCCAGAGGGGAACAGGTGAACACTGACAATCCTTGCCCCAGAAGATTCCAGAGAGGAGACGCTGCCCTGCTTATTCCTGTGTGTGTGTGTGTGTGTGTGTGTGTGTGTGTGTGTGTGTGTTGGTCTTGGGGCTTGGACTCAGGACCTGGACACTGTCCCTGAGCTTCTTTGGGGTGGTTCATTGGAGATAAAGTCTCATGGACTTTCCTGCCTGGCCTGGCTTTAAACCATAGCTCTCAGATCTCAGCCTCCTGAGTAGCTGGGACTACAGGTGTGAGCCACCAGTGCCCAGCTTCCTAGCTGCCTTGTAACTTCTGATGGGTTTCCACAGCACTGTGTTGGGGCAGTGGGGGGCATCTGGTGGAGCCCAGGGTGAGAAGAGGCTGCTCCGGGACCCTTCCCTCATCCTTCCATCCTGTCGCCTGGCCAGCCTCAGGGCAGGGTGTGGCCCTGAGCACAGGCCCCAGACCCAGAGGGCTGCCCAGGGGTGGCTTCGGAGGCTGTCCTGGTCAGCGGGAGCGAGGGAGGTGTTATTCTGTAGATGTCTGCTTTAGCCCTGCTGAGACTCTGCAGCCGGCGGGGGAAGGAGAGTGGACGGATCTCCGGGGCGGGTAGGGGGGTGGGGTGGGGGTGGGAGGGGGGGGGCGTGTTGAGGGCCCCAGTGGGAGCTTGCACGCCGCCCTGGGGTTACAGACCTCGCAGGGTCCACATGGCCCAGGGCCCAGGCTCCAATGGCCATGCTTTCTTTATCCAAAAGAGGCAAGGCCCTGAGTGACAGGACCTGGTCTTGGAGCCCCGCCCCCGTGAGGAGTCCAGGAGCACCTGGCGCAGGTCAGACAGAACGTGGATGATGGGGGTGCTGGGCGCCGTGGCTGCTCCTCTTCCAGTTCCCAAATGCTGCACAGGACAACCATGTTCTCAGCTGAGCATCACAGCCCAGCGCCCAGCGCCGCCGCCGGTGGCTCCGTGCTGTTGGCCCTGCCCTGGCTACGCCTGCGGCTGTGTGGACTCCCTCCCCAAGCTGAGCTGCCCGGAGAGGCCTAGGGCCTAACACTCCAGCTCCTCCACCACCCGGCTGAGCTCTGGAACTGGCCCTGACGCCTCCACGTTGCCTTCCACTAGTGCCACCTGCAGGTCGGCCGGAGCCCGGAGACCCGTGAGCTGCAGGGTCATGCCATTCGGTCCATGCAGCCCATTTTAAGCTGGGGAAATGGCAGCCCTGAGTCAGGACAGGTGGACAGAGGCCCCGGTCACTGGGCTGACCGCAGCCACAGCGGAGCTGGTCAGCTCTCTGGCTCCGGGTCTGCGGCCTGTGCGTGCTGGGCACCTTCCTCCCCGCAGGTGGTACCTGAGCTTCTCTGTGTCTGTGTTTGCTGTGCACCCAGCCCAGAGCAGGGGACAAGGCTGACCTTTGCAGGGGGAGCAGGTGACCGGGAGGGACAGTGGCCTTGACAGCCTGGCCCACACCACGGCCACCTGCAGCACAGCCATGGCCCACGGGTGCTGCCCTCCCGACCTCCAGACCCGGGTGGAAGGCCTGAGGGGCTGGGAGTGGGGGAGGGGATGGACGCCATCCAGTTAAGAAAGGGAAGGAGATGATCTGGAAGCATTTTATAAGGGAGAGAATGTAAATTACACCTATTATATGCATATTCAGAAAGCCCTGCAGTTTGGAAAATGGGTCCCGCATCCTGCCGTTCTTCCCATTTCCTGCAATTTCCTTCCCTATTGTCCTGCTCAGAGCGGCTCTCCCGCCCACAGACCACAGACTGTTCCTTGTCAGGGGCAGCTGCTGGTTCCTAACCAGGCCCTGCTGAAAGAAAGACTCACTCTGGGTGGAGGAGGAAGAGGAAGAGGAGGAGGACGACGAGGAGGATGAGGAGGAGAGAGGAGGAGCAAAAAAAGGAGGAGGAGGAAAAGGAAGAGGAGGAAAAGGAGGAAGAGGAGGAGGAAGAAGAAAGGGAGGAGGAAGAGAAGGAGGAAGAGGAAGAGGAGGAGGAGGAGGAGGAGGAGAGGAGGAAAGAGGAGGAAGAGGAGGAGGAGAAAGAGGAGGAAGAGAAGGAAAAGGAGGAGGAAAAGGAGGAGGAAGAGGTGGAGAAAGAGGAAGAGAAGGAGGAGGAGGAAGAGGAGGAGGAAGAAGAGAAGAGGAAGAGGAGGATGAGGAAGAGGAGGAGGAAGAGGGGGAGGAGGAGGAGGAAGAGGAGGAGCTCCTGACTCAGGGAGGGCCTGCACTGGAATCAGTCAGGCAGACTAGGCTGGACTTGCTGGCGTGGTGGGCAGCTGCATGGCACAAGGCGTCTGCCGGACCCAGGGAGCCCACGCTGTCCACAGCACACAGGGCCACTCCCAGGAATGCACACAGGGCCGCACGGAGGTGTCCGACCTTGGAAAAAGAACCCCCTCGACCCCATCAGGAGCGCGGTCCCAGCCCTGCCCCGCACTGCCCGCAGGCCGCTGACGCTGAATCAGTAGCTCCCAGCCTGACCCATGCTGACGGTCACACATGGTTCTGCTGACCTCGGCCTCTGCTGGGCGCTCCCTGGCCTTGCCACATCCTCCGGTGTGCCCCTCCCTGCAGCTCCTCCCCTGCTGTCATTCCCTCCAGGCACCCATATTCACCTGCTCCCTCGTACCTCCCTGGGTACCATCCAGGTTAAAGGAACGAGGGAGGGAATGAATGAATAAGTGCCACCTGAGGCTCCAGTATAGCACAACCTGTGGTGGTGTGGGCTGTATCTTCAGATGCTGAGGGACTAGGTGGTCCTGTTCTGTGTGGTTGTGTGGGCTGTATCTTCAGATGCTGAGGGACTAGGTGGTCCTGTTCTGTGTGGTTGTGTGGGCTTCAGCTTCAGGAGGTGATGGGCTAGGTGGTCCTGTTATGTGTACTGTTGTGGGTTGTTTCTTTAGGAGGTGATGGACTAGGTGGTCCTGTTCTGTGTGGCGTGGGCTGTGTCTTCAGGAGGTGATGGGCTAAGTGGTCCTGTTCTGTGTGGTGGTGTGGGCTTCATCTTCAGGAGGTGATGGACTAGGTGATCCTGTTCTGTGTGGTGGTGTGGGCTTCATCTTCAGGAGGTGATGGACTAGGTGGTCCTGTTCTGTGTGGTGTGGGCTTCATCTTTAGGAGGTGATGGACTAGGTGGTCCTGTTCTGTGTGGTGGTGTGGGCTTCATCTTTAGGAGGTGATGGATTAGGAGGTGATGGACTAGGTGGTCCTGTTCTGTGTGGTGGTGTGGGCTTCATCTTTAGGAGGTGATGGACTAGGTGTCCTGTTCTGTGTGGTGGTGTGGGCTGTGTCTTCAGGAGGTGATGGACTAGGTGGTCCTGTTCGGTGTGGTGGCGTGGGCTTCATCTTCAGGAGGTGATGAGGGAGGAGAAGGAAGGGGAGGAGGGAGGAGACAGGAGGAGGAGGGAGAGGAGACAGGAGGAGGAGGGGAGGAGGAGACAGGAGGAGGAGGGGAGGAGGAGGAGGAGGGAGGAGGAAGGGAGGAGGGAGGAGACAGGAGGAGGAGGGATGGAAGGGAGAGGTGAGGAGAGAGGAGGAGGAGGAGGAGACAGGAGGAGGAGGAGGAAGGGGAGGAGGGGAGGAGACAGGAGGAGGAAGGGGAGGAGGGGAGGAGACAGGAGGAGGAAGGGGAGGAGGGGAGGAGACCGGAGGAGGAGGGGGAGGATGCGCTTGGAACCACAGCCCTGGAGCGGCAAGCCAAGCTGTGCCATGCAGGGCTGTCCCTGACTGTGGCCAGGGCCTGGAAACTTCTGTGAGGATGAGTCCAGCCGCTGTGCGTTGGGATGGCACCTGGACAGACGTTCCTGGAGTCGGCCCTGAGAGACATTCTTAGAGAGACACTGTGATGCAACTCACAGAAGGTTTCCCGCATGTCATTGTGCAGGTACAAGATGCTCCAAAATGCCTGCCAATCCCAAATTCTGAGAGTAGTGAAAATAACCCCAGGGAATGAAGCACACATAAAGGATGCAGCTAATGAAAGGACCTCTAAAGGAAATTCCCCAAACGGAGAGGAAATGCTAACGAATTTCAAGAGGAAGCAGGAACCTCGGGGGAAGGAAATAGGGGAAGTTGTTATGTTACATTCACAAGCGTTTGAAAACCTGTTTTGGTGGCTGACGCAGGAGTTACCACATCATCTGATAATGGGCTCCATGCACACACATGCTGGGGACAACTGTCCACCTGTGGCGCGTAAGCAGAGCAGGGAGGAAGCAGGGTCTGCGTGCCGCCAAGCCCTCAGACTTCTGCACCAGCGGGCGGGCCTCCCCTGACCACAGCTTAGTATCTAGAGGAGCCACTGACAACTGCACAGAGCGGTGCACTCACGGACGGAGTAGGCAAACCAAAAAGGCATTTTTAAACCACTGATGAAATTCACAGGAAGGTAATAAAAGTCAAACAGACAGAATAACAAAAGATACAGTATCAAACCAGATTTAAACACTTCCATGGAAACAGAAATTGTCAAGGTAGATGAAATAATGGAAAACCCAATCCAATTATATGTTGTCTGTAAGACACTCATTTAAAATATGATGTAGGTAAGTTGGAAGTAAAAGGCCAGAGGCAAATATACTAACCAAACAGTAGCTAACAAAACATGTAGGCTGCTGTATGAAGGACAGATAACCTACACTTCAAGGTAAAGAAAATTACTGGGAGCAAGAGGAGACATTATGTTCATACTGATAAAAGGTCATATAATATAAGCTAAAGGTAGAAATACGCAAACTGACAAAGTTGGGAACTTCAATACTCCTCTGTCAGAAATCAAGACAGCAAAGGTGCGTCAGAACTGCACACCAACAGCCAAAGTCACTAATAGTTCCAGAAACATCTAATAGGTCTAGACCCACCTCTCCTGATGGAAGAACATACATTTTCCAGATGCCTTTCAGATATTCACCAAGACAGAGTAGATCCTGGGTTACAGGGAAAGTTTAAAACAATTTATAGGGCTGGGGAGGTGGCTCAGTGGTAGAGCGCTTGCCTTGCATGCCTGAGGCCCTGGGTTCGATTCCTCAGCACCACATAAGCAAAAATAAAAAAGCCGGAAGTGGTGCTGTGGCTCAAGTGGTAGAGCACTAGCCTTGAGCTGAAGAGCTGAGGGACAGTGCCCAGGCCCAGAGTTCAGGCCCCATGACTGGACCAAAACAAACAAACAAACAAACAATTTATACAGAATTTGTACTCTGACAATAATGAAATCAGAAAAAAAACCACAAAGACAACAGGAAAATTTCAAAACACTTAAAAACTAAACACCACATTTAAAGATAATATCTGAGCCAAGCAAGCAGTCTAATGTGATAAAAAAAATAACACCTATAACAAGAGGGAAGTAAAAGAACGCCAACCTGTGTAGGATCAAAGCTAGGCAGGTAGCGTATGCATGCCACCCCAGCACATTTAAGACGGAAGCCTGAAGATCATGAAGTAAGGCCAGTCTGGGATATGTGGTGAGATTCTGACTAAAAAAGAACTAAACAGAGCACTAACGGTTTACATTTGGAAAGGAGAAGAGTCCCAAGTCAGTAAAATAGAAAAACTCCAAACAAGCAAAATACAACATTTCAATGTTTTTCCTACACCGAGTTATGCTGAAAACCCTAGACACAGCACTGAGTCAAAGGAAGAGATGAAGGGGCATGGAGATGGGAAAGCAAGCAAGCTGTTCTTGCTCGCAGAGGGTATAACTAAATTGGAATAAGGACACTGGGTGTTGTCTTCATGGTAGAAGCAGTGAATTCCACCCCCAGGTGAGAGGCAGGGCAGGGATTTGGACTGTAGCGTACTGGACCTGTAGGTCCTGTACGTGAACTTTTGAGACTCTGCAGCTTCCTGTGACCCTGCTCCTGGCCCTATTTGGGCTCGGGCTGGGGTTAAAGAAATAAAAATCGCAGAAGGAAACAAACACAAGGAAAAAGGTGGCAAGAGGACCATGTAGAAGGCAGAGCAGAGTCCTTTCATGTTTTCAAAGAAATGACGGAGCTAAACTGCATGAATCGTGAAAGAGGGGTAAAAGATGAGAGAAAAG